TCCTCCTACCGTTCCCCCTCAGTGTTCGGTGATCCGCCTGAAAAATCCACTATTTTGGAAGGGACGTGAAGTTAAAGGACATTACTCGAAAATGAGGCTGAATTTCGAAAATTCCTCTGGTAGATCTCTTTAAAAGTCTCTTGGCTAGATTATAATACATTTTCATGAGAATCCGTGCACTATCCTAGAAGCATATCGATTTTTCCTACGGCCTCTTTTGACAATTTACGTCATTTCTTCCATTCTGGGTCGATTTTTATGTTCCCGTAGTACCTTAAATGTACATTCCAAATGGATTTAAATACATTTTCCTAAACTTCACAATTTTGCCTATGTCTCATTCCTCTTTCGTATTTCTATCATTCATGCTGAATTTAATATTAATTGACAACTTTCGTCATTTTCCATAAAATTATGGGGGAAAAATTTTTTTTTCCTCAAAAGTCATTTCTTTGATTTATTTTATCTTCCCGTTGATACTGGACGGCATGAGCTATTGCATTGTACAAAAAGTTCTTACCCTTTTTGCTTGATTATGAAGTTATTAATTTTTAAACATAGACATTTACCAACGATGTTAGGAGAAACAATGGTCACACAATCATTATCAATTCGATTAGCCATACACTATCCTATATTAGCTTAGAGAATTAATAAATTAACATGTGGTCGGCGTGACCGATTAGCCCGAGGGGGTGGGACTATTCGGTCACATGTCTTTCGGATCAATGTAACAAATCGAGCTTGATAGCTCGGAGGGATCAAGGGATTGAAGGAGGGAAGAATGACGTTTCTTTTTATCTGCCGAATATCGAAATTTTACTGTTTCATTTGGAAAATTATAGGGTGGGTTGGGCGTATTCGGTTCCGATAGACCTACCCGTGCATTGGGAAGTGTTTTTTCTTTTACCTGTCAGCCCCTGGAATCGAGCAGTAAAGCTAAACAATGATACGAAATACATGTGACCGAATAGCCCCCCCCTGGGGCTAATCGGTCTTAATTTTTTAATTCTCTAAGCTAATATAGGGTAGTGTAGGGCTAATCAGTCACGATTTTTCGTGACCGATTAATAGCTAATATATACATATTCCAGATTTCGTTTTGGGCTGAATAAGTAGTTGAATGACATGGCCGTTTGAGGTTCCAAGGGTTTTTCTGTGTTATTATTTCTCATAATAATAATTGCTTGTGGAGTAAGAAAAATTAAAAATCGTGACCGATTAGCCCCACACTACCCTATACATGCTCCAGAGAAAGGGTTCGAAAAGGATTTAGTTCCTACCGAATCCAATGCGAGAAAGACGTCCTGCGAACCAGTAGCAAAGCCGCACCTAATGCATCGCCACCTCTCGCAATTTGAACGTGCCACGAAATGGCGTGTTCCCCGACCGCGACATCGCTACCGTTTGCGTCTCCGGAAAAGACCCTCTCCTGGTCGCAGTAGAAGTTCCTTTCTCAAGTGTCCTAAAGCTCCCTTAAAAGGAAGCATCCATGCGCGCCGATCCGCTAAAATGGATCCATCGACTACACGTCATCCACATGTTTATGTTCTTCTTCACCTAATTTCTTTCCGCCTCGGGTGGCACGAGGTGAGAGAGCGATTGCGCCGTCTGCCTGACGGACACTGCGTTATTTCCCAACTAGCGTTGGGCTTGAAAACTCGCTGAGAATCCTGTGATCGTGCTTTCATTGCACCTATGATCGAAAGCAGTGCTCTCAGATATCCTGTTGGGAAACTGTCGTTCAATTGAGTTAAAACGATGACCGTCGGATCCCTACCAGTTCTAAATTCACCACCGACGCTTCACCAGATATCCCTCAGCCTCGAAGCAAAATCTCTGAGACGCGTGGCGTATTCGAAAAGGGTGGATACCTCGTAAACTCGGTGGAGTGGCTTCAACGCTGCGTATAGCTTCACGTCGGCATTCATGACGGTCTGGAATTTGGCGGAACCTTCCCAGTTTGGAGAAAACTGGAATCCATCCGGATGAAACGTTTCCCTACGGAAGGGAAATCGACCGACACGCATCGTCTCTCAACACTTCGAGTGCCGACTTTACCTCGCGCACTGACTCTAGAGCAGCATCCCAGGGATCACAGCAAAAGTCGTCCAGCTTTCGATGGGTGTGGAGCACCTCATGCTGTTAACACACGACCACGAAGTCTCTCCTCGAGATGTGCTGCGAACCTCCATCAGCTTCGACTGAAATTATCTGCAGCGACACTAAGCTCTGCTCAGAAATGAAATAAAATCGCCCTCTTTTCGGGGGTAAGGCACTCATTTCCTCTAAGCAATATCGCTCACTCATTTCTAAAATGAGTATGTAATTTCACTTAGTGAGAGTTTCTTAAATGTTCTCAATCTGAGGAATTTCCAATAGTGATGCTCTGTTCTTTCCTTTTCCATGTGTTATGAGACGTCTTGAAAAACGGAAGCCAATTATCAATATATGGTCGTAAACAATCGTTGCTCATTTTTCTGACGATTCTGTCATAGTTTGTATTCAGCAAAAGCAAGAACGGTTGCAAAATAGAACAGCGATCAACTTTCTTGCACTGTAGGGGGCAACCTCACAAAGAAACTTTTGAGCCAACTTGACAGTTGAGAAGACAGATCACAGAATGTTTATTTGAAAAATATTCAGTGTTCAACCTGCTTCAGCTTGACGGAAACTTTCCGGCTTTCTCTGAACGGCGTTAATTCTTACCGGAGTTTGCTGAACTAGAGAGGTTTTTAGAGGGTTTCAATTTGCGCAACAGGATTTTTTTTTCAAAGTTACATAGGTCCGATGGAACAGACGCAAATAAAAAATTGAAAAGTTCAGGGAAAGCAGTGAGTCTAAGTAAGAAAATGTACCAAATGAAAATACACTCATCATATTTTCCTCAGCGTTGGCGCAAATTCTCTAAGATCCTTGGCATAGTCAAACACGGTCAAAATGGCAAAAATTCTCAGGAGGGGCTTCAGCATGACGTGGATTTTCGGGTCGACATTCAGCACGAACTGCATTTTTGTTGAGCTTGCTCCATTCGGAGAAAAACGTAATCCACTCGGATGGTATGTGCCCCTAGAGCACATAAACGACAAGGACGCTTAAACCACCAATGTCTAATGTTTACGCCCAGAATGCCTATTGAAACGGAAGAGACGGGTTTACCTCACGTTTTTCCCTTCGGGCGGTGCCCCTGGAAATTCCGTAGAGATGTAGCATATGTAGAAATCCTCCACCATCCGCTTGGTGTCCAGCAGATCATGCTAGAGTACACAGCCAAGAAGTCTCTTCTCGAGATGTATTGCGATCCTTGATTTGTTCCAATCTCGCGGGTGATCATTTTGGTCTTCGAAATTCTCTTCAACGACAAGAAGTTCATTGAGGAGGAAGCAACTCCGTGCAGTGTCAAGGAAAGGTTTTCATTCCTCAACAGACATTTGCTGGAATTTCTTACTCCAATTGACAAGTCGATTTTGACCCTGTGTGGAAGATCTAGATGACAACCTTCCACGTTACTGCGCCGAATCCTTACTGAAACACCCATAGAGAGTGTATAATGGAGGGACCTCTCCTAAGACGCGAGGCACTGCACCCTTCCAGGCGCGGCCACCATCTTATTGAAGTCGCCCGAGCAAGGAGTTCATCGCAGACACCTGGAGAGGGGGAGGACAAAAGAGGCAACTTTCCCCCGAGCCATATACCTGGGAGCCTCCACGCCCGGACCCAACTAATCACGCTATTCATTCCCACGTGCAAGACTTCACCAAGATGGCGGAAGCACTTGTAAGTCTGGAGGCAGCGACGGCCTCTCCAGAGACATCTATATACACTCCATGGAAACACCACATTGACGAGGGCTTTCCCGTGCAATACTTTTCTTAAAAGAGACAAAAATACTTAATTTGATATTCTGTTGCCTTCGATGTAATATTTCCCTTTGTCATAGTCTTGTCCAAATGTTCTCATCCCATCGAGTGGTGGGGAACAATTTTTTTACTGATTTTTATCTGCACTCTTAGTAATTTTGAAAATAGTTATATTACTTTGTTGGTTAATCTTTTGTATTTTATTTAAACAAATATTCAGAAATAGCATAATCTTGCGGGCTGTATGCAAAATGATCCTTTGAGTGATGCAGTGGGTCTACGGTGGACATTTATTTCAATGAATATCCTCACAATTATGGCCGTTGAGCACTTGCGGGAATTTATTCTCACAGAGTAAAATAGTTATGGATTTAGTTGATTTTCCTCAATAGAGCACAAAACACTCCCTTCCCTATTGGTTAATTATAGCAATAGCGTATTTGTGATATTATTCTGAGGGAAATTCTTAACCTCAAGCTATTGAAAGATTCATTACTTTCGTTCGGCATTAATCTCAGAAAACGATTTTAGGTTGGGTAGGAGCAGATGCTGAATGCTGAAGTCGTAATGATGTTGTTGGATTATCCGCTGCAATATTTGCAACCCTTTTTAGTTCAAGCAGACAAGGAAAGAGACAACCTCGTAAGTTTATCCCTGGATTATTCATGGTTTAAAAGTTGTCGCTCCGGCAACCCACTTAGATGACTTCCATTGAGGAGACCGCAGTGTTCCAGGTGGTGATTCTGTCGAAATGCCACCAGTACTCGTCGACAAGGGCCTCCGCGGAAGCGTTCACCACCGTCTGCAAGAAAATGAGACTCAGAAAATGAGACATATCGACGTTTGCTTATTTTTACACCCAACTCAGATATTGGCTCATTCCTCCAAAATTAGCTGAATTTGTGATAGGTTCAAATATTAATTTCGATAAATATGAGGTGCCTTCCCCCTGCCAAACGGCAACTCCCCAGGTGTATTTGGGGCCAGGTGGATGTCCATTTGGATATACATCCATCAGCTGGAAAGGACATCCACGTGGTTCCGAATCCACCCACCTGCCCACGTGGCCGTTCAGCCCAGGTGCATGTAGGAGGACGTTTTTCAAGGTACCTTCGCCATCTCTTGGCTAGGAAGGAGTGATTGGCTTGAATTGCAAGGTGAGTGATTGCGAAAGTGGGAGCTGTGTATATGGGAAAATAACTCAACACTGCTAGTCAAACTAACCAAACCATCTAAATGCGTATGAATATATGTACTCTACGGTCAGTACAGGTAATTTTTAACCCACTTTGAAAGTCTCATAAATGAAAGAGAATCTCGTTTTAAAAAAAATAGTTCAATTCAACTCAATTATGGGGACTATTTCAGTTGTTGAATGTCGATGTCGTCTCATGTTTGAACTAAATCGTTTTCTCTTCTACCCTAGCCCGACGAAGCGCTCGGCATGTCAAAGGAAAAATCGAAAGGAATACTCCATGGCATGAAATTAACCTCTGCTAGGAAGATGTAGTTGCTGTATTTTTTGCTGTAAAGGCTCTTGACGACGATGCCGTCCTCGTCGCGTTCGAGATCCCACACACCGTTAACCAGCAGATCCTTGACCTCGTGAAAGGCGGATTCTCCTTGATTCACGTATGGCAGGAGGTCGACCTGTCGGGGGAGAGAATACATAGGAAGCGCGACGCAGCTAAGGCTACATAGGCGAATGCGACATCGAAGGACGGTCGGTTGAATCGATTCGATTCACCCAAGACTCCTCAGAGAAAGAAAGGAATTTCAACAAAAATCCTGCCGAAAACTCACAACCTCGTCTTTAATAGGGAGAACCTTCGGCAACATGGCACCGATCATTTTGCTGGCGCGAAAGAAAGCATATTCCTTCCAGCTGGAGAATGCTGCCATCGGGTCTCAGCCACCAGCGATTCATTGAGGGATGATCCTCATTGTCGAGGACGTTTTAATCCATGTGACATGTGGACCACTCGCCCTTCACAATTGGATGGTAACGGCGAAGAAATCGGCTGACCCGGTTGAGAGGGCGCGAAAAACGGGCAAAGCGCCCATTGCAAACTCCGAACTCGATTCCATTTGTGCAGACGTCAACGTCATTTGTCATAACGCCAAGGGGATCGTCTCCAACAATCCCAGATGATTTAAAACTCAGTCTCCAAGCGACATTAAGTTCTGATTTTGTTCTATAAAAATTCTTGTGAAAAAGAAAGCGTCGCAAAAGCATACGCAGCATGATGTGACGAACCCAGATACTTCAAAGCGAAACGTCATTTTCCGATCCCAGATTTTCAAGGTCACAGTCGAGGCATCATGTCAATTCGGAGGACTCACGAACAGACCATTCAAATCACAATGCGCCCGATATTAAAATTTCCCATCTGTTTCTTGATCGATTCGTCGAATCGACTCTTCAACGGATCGTTCGGTTTCTTCAGTTCCTGGATTCTTGCCGGTTTTTCAACGTTCAGTATTCCATCCTCGACGCTTTCACTACAGATATCACGGTATGTAAAATTAATTCAATGAAGCCATTCATTTAAAAAAAAAGAGAGCTCATATGTAAAGGGAGAGAGACCTGCAGCCCGAACGAACAGAGTGCCCGCAAATGCACGAATCGACTCGATGAAAAGTTGGCCTTCCTAAATAGAATGTGGGACTCACTGGGAAGTCGAATGAGATGGGTTTCGACCTGTTCCTCGGGGAAACGGGAAATACATCTGCGGGGACGAAAAGAAACTCTTGGAATAGGCATAAGTCCGAGGATCCAGGCATTTTTCTAGAAAACGTTCCTGATTTAGGAAATACGTCAGATTAAATTCCGCCACTTATTTTTAGAAATAAAACCAACCTGTGATTGTTCTCTTGTTAAAGTTTATCTTTCTGGAATGAAATTTCATTTCGCTTGTTCGCGACTCCTGGAAAGAGGAAAATGTCGGATACTCATCTGGTGTTCAACCTCTATTTCCTGATTTGTTCTTCATTGTCTCAATTTGGCATTCAATCGCCAAGGTCGACTGGCCATGACGCCGTCTCGAATTCCCGGATCACGTGCGGCCAAGTCCTTAATTTTACGGGGCATGTCCGCTGCACTGACATATTTCTGGTTATTCGCGGTTATTGGTTAATCGCGCTGACCTTAAAATCTGCCCTGAAAGTTTCCGGTTAAGTGATAGCTCAAATGATAGCAGCAAGTCTTGTATAAAATGCCCGAAATACTTCGGTCGATTGAGCAGAAATTCAACGACGACTAACCTGTGACAACCGAATCTTGCAAGACGAAGAGGGACAGGGCGTTGAGGGACAAGAGCACCGCCGACTCCACGACCGAAGACGCCATCGCGACTGAGCGAACCCCGATGCGCGAGACAGTCAATTCCTGCGAGGAGAGGTCGTGGCGTGACTGGACGGTTTCCAGCTGCAGGGATTTTGTTACCTTGGGTATCAGACGAGATGGTCAGAAAATGTGATCATATCGATCCCGGTTCTAAGAAATCGTCGTAAAATCAGGACAATGAGGCCAGCTATCATTACGGGATTTTCCAGATATGCGAAACCTAAACTTCACTTGCAGCACGGTTTTGGGCCATCATTACTTCCAGCCCTATTGCCTCAGAATGCTTGGTTCAGGACTTGGCCTATGAATGAATGTAAATGAAATAGAAATCCTCTTTATAGGAAAAGAAATTCACAGGCGGATCAATTGGTTTCTCATCACCTTTTTGAATTGCTTTATGGCGGACTCGGCCATGAATAAAATGTGAATAAGCCTTTGTCATGAAGGTGGAGCTACGCTCTTGCCCCTCCCCCCATTCCTTAGAGAGGCCCTCGTTGATAGCGTTTTGCCTAATAACACTTCCAGCGTTCCTAATCGATTCGGAACTCGGGCTCTATATGATTTAAATTAAATTTGTTTTGTTCATTTTTTAAATTTAATCATAGTCGTCGCAACCAAACTGTTCTCCTTTTATTGACGATGACATAACGGACCACGTGGCTGGTCTTTCCTTTCTTCTTCAAACCACAGATTCATCGCAAAGGGACATTTTCATTTCTTTTTCCATTCACTTTTCTTCATCCCTTGAGAGATTGCCCTCATAAATAAATTAACGAATTGAAAATTCAAGATTTCAAGATTCACTACAGGTGAATATACAGACCATGAGAGATCAAACGGAGCTTTAAATTACCGAAGGGAAAACGGAAATAATTCCTGATTCTAGAAGGCGATGCCGCTGGAACCTCTATTGTCATGCCACCGCTGGAACCTCCATTGTCTTCCCCTCTCGCCCTGGCCGGCGGCTCTGTACTTCCCTGTAAGTTACCGCCTCCCTTCGCAACATATCTTGTCATCGAAGGACTTCATGCCATGGCACTTCCTCTACGTGCTCATCCTTCGATTCAATCATTATGGATTCATTCATCACTTAATGTTTGTTCCCTCTGCATTTGTCGATTGAAACAAAAGCTTGTGTATTCCACCTACTGCAATGTGATCTGCTCAAAGGGACCAAGGATACTGGAGTATGGGAAAGTCCCTAATGAAATCTAGGTTCATTTTTCTCTTTGAACAATCGAAGAGAAGTCGTCATGAATGACTTCGTTCTTTCCAGGAAGGAAAGGGGACTTCTTCTCCACTGCCTAGACATAAATTCCTCGAGGTGGAATGTCCACCCTCTGTTCATCACATCCGTAAGGTAGGTTTCTTTCCGGCAAATGGAATCGGAATCATATAGGTTTGGATTTAATATCATGTCGGAGAGACAATGACAACCTTTTTTTTAATATTCCTCTCGTCTGCGAAATTCTTTTCTGTGTCACTCATCGTCTGCGCCGAGGAGGATTAGGCCTGGAAAACTCAGACTTCAATTGCCTCATTCCAAAAGGCTAAATACCTCCTGGAATTCCCATCTGACGTCATTTGGGCCTGTCATCCGGACATCTGAGAGACAAAGTTTCTCCCCGATTCAGAAGTAGTCGTCGGAACTTCTTCTAGAAAGGCTACAAAACTGCCGAGATTTGCCTTTGTGTCTAACGTAAAGCCGAATGAGCATTGTTTCCCCCACGAAACGACACAATAATGTGAAATATTTGGCAGCTTTCTTACGGATATTATTATACAGATTGAATACTTCCAAGTAAATCGGAGCATACGTCTCAACTGTCTTTTCCCTTCATTTTCATAGTGTAAGGAGGAGGTTGGGACGGAGGCCTCTGACCCAGTCTCAGAGGGACGTACATTTAGGTCAACGATATTCTGAGATACAATCGGGGATCGTGGAGCGTGGAGCTCTCTTCACGTTGCCCGTTTTCGCTTGCTAGGGACAGGCCTGCCATATATTTCTTTGAATTTAAAGAAATTGTTAGATATTGGTACAACAAGAACATATGAGTGTAACGATTAAATTCCCCATTGCCGACAAAAAATTATTGCGTTAAAACGCTGAAGTAATGAGCTTACGTGTCGTTTATCTTATGTTTATGGAGATTTATATGGGAAAAAGCGTGGGAAGACCAAAGACCGGAATTAAATTCAGCAAAGGAACACTAACCGACGAACTGGATTTTTACCTGTTGATCCTGATGCTGGAAGTCATATGATGTCACAATGAATATTTTCTGAAGCAACTTCATTTTTAAGGTGCTAGCACCAAAACCGTGTAATTCGCAAACCCATTGATCCAGGAGTTTGAGAGCACCATTAGGCGTGAGCTTCGAAAACGGATGCTTTAAATGCGTTAGTATATTTATTTTGATCCTAGACCGCCGAAGGTGCGTCTTGAGCCTTTCTCCTTGGGGATAAATTTGCTATGCTGCAAATTTTTTTTTTATGCTAAAAGGCTGCATATTAACCCCCAGGAGATAATTCTTCATAGAAATCGAATTTTACTAAAAAGACTTCAGCTTTTAACCTATTCAGAGTTAAACAATAGAAAAGGTATAGATGACAATTAAGCATCATTTGCAAGGGTTACTTGTATAAAGTTCCTCAGAAGACCTCAAGACCACAAAATACCAATGGAAGGAGGACTGGGCAAACGCCAACATGCCGCTGAAGACCATCATCAACGATCCCACAACTCTTCAGCCCGGATTGACACTTCCAGGTCCTTCTTAAACCAAATCCGGGCCCTCCAAGGAAGATGCAGCCACATTTTCCACAAATGGAAATCAAGTGAAGTCCACAATGCGACTGCGGAGCACCAAGTCACAGAGTACAGCACATAGTACTTGAATGCCCAATTAGATCCTTCGACGGTGATTTAAAAAGCATCCACGAGGCTACCACTGAGGCAGTCGAATGGATATCAAAACTTGATATTATTATTTGATTTGTTGCTATTCACCAAGGCCATGCAAAAGAAGAAAAAGTTGGGAATTCCAAGGCTTGATACCCCTATACTTAAAGCTTTTTTTTTTAGATGTTTTTGTGATGGCTTGTGGGAGGCATGATGTGGGATATGTGGGACCGGAAGGAGTTTGTACTCGATAGGATGAGAATACGGTGAGGGACAAAATTGCGTCAATGTTTGACGCAGTTCCAGTTGATGACACATAACTCGAGTATGACGTGTTAAATTTAACTTAAAATTCAGCCAATCATACTCCTACTTCCTGGCTTTCGATTGGTGCTAGTCGCGTGTCAGCTGGCCTCCTATTGGCTGAGCTGCAGCTGTTCAAAGTCAACCATGTTCATTGACACAGTTTTTTCCCTCACACACGGACAGCCAGAAATTCGAATTCATTAATGCTGTGTATTCGCTTTCGGCCTTCAAAACTACCAGACGTGCTCTCGATCAACTCCAAGCATATTTGGACGGGAATGGCGTCCCACTCGGTCGTGACCCGCCGCCACAACTCGTGGATCCTGGCTGGCTCATTTTCGTACCCCGTCAACCTTCGTTTCGAATGTTGCCGCAAGTGTTCAATTTGGTTGAGGTCTGGTTCTATTCTAGGACCTATTCTGGCCATTCTAGGACATAGATTCCGTTCTCCTGGAAGCATTGGTGAGCCACACGCGAGTTGTGTCTCGGATCATTGTCCGGCTGAAACCACCTCTCACTTCCAACCGGTCGAACTCAACTGTCTGGAGCAATTCGTCCTCGATGATGCTTGTATACACCTGAGCATCTATTATTCCTTGTATTTGACGCACATATCCAACTCCCTTGGCCGTCATGCAGCCCCAATAGGTCAGGATGACCCCACTATACTTCCGCTTTCCCCTCACATGCGGACCTGCTAGGGCCTCGTCAGCTGGTGGAATTCGCCTGCCGTCACAAGCACTGAACCATAGAGGACTGGAAACGTAAAATTTGTTCAAACGAGACCAAAATCAACCTTATGAAGTCAGATGGGCGTGATTGGATATGGGAACAGCATGGCAAAGCCTTAACAGAGAGGCATGTCAGAGAGGCATTGCAAGTATGGTGGAGGCAGCCTCATGTTTTGGGCTGCATCACGGCCAAGGGTGTCGGATATGGATGTCAAATACAAGGAAGGATATTTTGCCAAGGTGTATAGACACATCCTCCAGGAAGAATTGTTTTCGACAATTGAGAGACCGGCTCGAAATAAGACAGGTGGTGTTTCTGTCGGACAATGATCCGAGACACAACTCACCACTCACCACCTGGTGGTTCACCAATGCTTCCATGACCACAGAATCGAATTCTTAGAATGGCCAGCAGTCACCAGACCTAAACCCAAGGGAATATTGGCGGGCAAGACTTGAAGCGAAGAGTAGCTGTGTACGAAAATGAGCCAATCAGCACTCACGTGTTGTGGCGGCAGGTCACGACCGAGTGAGACACCATTCCCGTCAAAATACAATATGCTTGGATTTGATTGAGAGCTTGTCTAGAAAGGTACTGGTAGTGTTGAAGGCCGAAGGCAAATACACTGAGCATTAATGAATTCGAATTTCTGGATGTCCAAGTGCGAGGGACAAAACTGACATGATGGTTGACTTTGAACAGCTGCAGCTCAGCCAATAGGAGGCCAGTCGACGTGAGACTAGCACCAATCGAAAGCCAGGAAGTAGGAGTATGATTAACAGAAATTTTAGTTGAATTTAACACGTCATACTCGAGTCATGAGTCATCAACTGGAACTGTCAAACATTGACAGAGTTTTGTCCCTCATTGTAAATTAATCCTATTCTTCTTGAATGTGGAGGCTGCGCTTGGTTCCCCCGCGAGGATTAGTAAATTAGGATGTGGTAAAAAAATGATTATCTAAGAGTCATATCAAACAAGCTCTAATTAGTCCGGGGAAAGAGCCATATGAGTGATGAATGAAGCCACAATGGGGCTCAAATCTCAAGCGGAAGGCCTCAAAAGATGATAATCGAAGGAAGTACTAGGCTGAAGTACTTCAAGACAGACCGGGAGAGTCTCGGTAGCAAGGTCATCATCCCAATAAGAGAGTGAACAAGGACGTACAAATATAGAATCTCATTTGTAACCTCTTGTAAACGCTCTAATGTCATGCCTCAATCAGCTCTTGACGTTGGTTAAACGTGAAGCCGAAGGACAAGCTTAAGAGGGACCAACGTTGGGAACCAACGTTGGGCCCACATCGCAAATGTGGACTCCAGCAACACAACTACGTAGGGCCAACATAGCGCCTTCCCATCGGCCCACCTAGGTAGGGCCGATGTTGGAATGCAAAATTTTCGATGTGGTATTCGAGCAGAGTGTCGCCTCTAGTTATACTCTATGCTCTCGGTCTGGCTTGAAGTACTCCAGGGAGTAGTACTTCCTTCGATTCTCTTGAGGTCTTCAATTTCTGCAAACGATTTCAGACACATTGTGATTTCACTCATCACTTATAAGACTCTCCACCCGTTATGGAAGTGCTTGTCCGGCAAGAATCGAATGATCAAATCTTTTATCACACTCGAACCCACCTTCGGAGGGGAGCCAGACAGTCTACATGAGAAGAAGAAATAATTCTCTCTCTGTCGCGACTCCCGCCCACATGACCGCTCTGCCAATGTGCATGCAGGAGGACGTTTTGTAAGCATCCTTCGCCATCTCTTGGCTGGAAAAGAAATGATTGGCTTGAATTGTAGGCGAGTGATGGCGAAAGTGGGAGCTATGTCGAATCTCGCCGTTTAACTCCAAAGTCAAACTCAACAAACCATCTCAATGAGAAAGGAGATATGTACTCTACAGTCAGCGCAATTAACTTTTTACCGACTTTTAATGCCTCTTAGAGTAAATACAATCACTTTAAAAAATAGTTCAATTCAACTCAACTATGGTGACTGTACCAACTATCGAATGGCGATTTCTTCTCATATTTGAACTAAATCGTTTTCTCTTCTTCCCTTGCGCGAGGAATCGCTCGGCAAGACAAAGGAATAACGAAAGAATACGCTAATGTTTGAAATTAACCTCAGTGAGGTAGATATGGTTGCTGTAATTTCTGCTGTAAAGGCTCTTAATGACGATGCCGTCCACATCACGTTCGAGATCTCACACACCGTTATCCATCAGATCCTTGACCTCGTGAAAGGCGGATTCCCCTTGATTCACGTAGAGGAGGAGATCGACCTGTCGGGGGAGAGCATACATGTATGCATGAGTTTGCTCGAGATGGCTGCATAGGCGACAGAGACATAAGTGGAGGGCTGGTTGAATCGATTCGATTCACCCAAAACTCCTCAGAGAAAGAAAGGATTTTAAAAGAAAATCCTGCTGAAGAGCAACAGCCTCCTCTTTAAGGTACTAAGGGAAGATGAAAATCTCCACCCCCCCCCCTAGAACCAAATTCTAGCTCATAATTATTGTAGAGAACACCAAGGGAGGGCATTGAAGCCACTTTTTGGCACTCTCAGGTCAAGCACCTGACCGTGGCGAATGGTCAAAGGTCACGATTTGCATGCCTCTCTTTGAGAATCTGTATCTCCCCAACCCTTGGTCGCAGAAACGTCAAATTTGCGCCATTTTCTTTGCCACAGAACATGTCAAATTATGAGTCCAAACAATTGCTCATATCTCTGCTTCCCGAGACGTCGTGACTCCTTTTGTGAAAATTCGCGTTTCGCGAAATCACTTCTTCCCTCGCTCATTCTCCGTAGAAACATTGTACCGGAAAAGCATAATCCAGTTTTTGGAGATCATCATCATCATCCGTTTTCGTGTCAAAGCGCACAATGATTCACCGATCCGTTTTTACAGGAAGTTCGATGATATACCTCAAAATCCCTCTATTTTTCCATAGTACCCCAGATTCATGGTCATTTCTCGAGAACGAGAGCGAATCTCAAAAAATCAAGACTCACATCTGTGGAGAAACCTTTTGAGAAGCTTCAGAACCATTTTCAAGCGAATCCGTTCATCCGCCTCAGATCCTTTACGGTTTTACTGAACCCAAGTTTGAAATTTTACGGCATTTCACAAACGTTGAGCCATTTTTCTCCACTTCCTTGGAAATTGATAGTATACGCAGTAATTTTTGTAAGGAGGAGCATTTCAGGATTCCAATTGTTCCGAAATCCTTCATTAATTCCACTGGATGTGCAAGTGGGAAAATAATTATTAAAAAGAAAGAAAGAGAGAGGTGCACCTCGTTTGCACGACATGCAGAGCAGGGACTTTTTAGACTATTATTTTGACTTCATCAAT